CCACACCACAAAGGCCACCGGTTTTATTTATTCGAAGGAGAGTCAGAATGATTTTTCCCCATCTCTCTTTAAGGGCTGTGACTAAGCAAGATATTCAGGCCAAGGCGCCTCGGAGGCTGCAATCACTTAATCCTGCTGAAGGTCGTTCCCTTTCGAGATAACAGACTTTGACTTCATTTAAATTGGAGGCATCAGTTAGCCAGACATTGGACTTCTGGCTTGCAAAGGAATGGGTTGTTCCTGCAATCAAAGGTTTCGTGCGAAAGGAAGACCAGTTTTATCCACCAAATTGCAGTTAACCTCCTCCTGCGGTAACCTCTAGACTAGATATGTCTTGTTTAATGAAAATAAGGACTAGGGGGGACATGATAGCAGTGCTCCGATATCTATGGGGCTGCCCCAAAGAAGATTTGGGAGTCAAGCTATTCTCCAAAACATCTGAAGGCAGGACAAGAAGCAATGGGTGGAAACTAATCAAGGAGAGAAGCAACTTAGAACTAAGGAGGAATTTCCTGACAGTGAGAACAATTAATCAGTGGAACAGAAGTTGCCTCCAGAAGTTGTGAATGCTCCAACACTGGATGTTTTTAAGAAGATGTTGGATATCCATTTGTCTGAAGTGGTGTAGGGTTTCCTGCCTAACCGGGGTTGGACTAGAAGATCTCCAAGGTCTCTTCCAACTGGTATTCTATTCCCATCTGTATAGCCAAAGTGTCTTTGGGAATGCCACCACAACTTCCCAAGATCTTCTGTAAGAATCTGAGCATTTTATGAGCTTTCTTGCCACTATTGTTAAGGGAGTTGCAGCAGTTGTTCAGTTAGTAACATGGTTGTTAAGTGAATCTGGCTTCCCCATTGACTTTCCCTTGTCAGAAGGTCGAAAAGGGGGGGGGAGTGGGTCACGTCACCCCACAGCCATCATAAATATGAATCAGTTGCCAAGCGTTTGAATTTTGCTGAAATTATCGCGTGAAAAATAGTCACAAAATGGTTGCTTTTGTCAGCGTCGTCGTAACTTTGAAAAGTCACTAAATGAACTGTCATAACTCAAGGGCTACCCATGCTTCAGAATTTGGGTGACAAGTTTGGCTTTGTGGTACTGCTGGAGCTTAATTTTGGGTTTGGGATGGCAGCCAGCTGTTCTGACCTTGGTTTCCCCAACAACTACAAGACAGATTCCTGGTCCTGACAAAACCCCTTTTATTAAACAAATGTTCTCTCGTTCACCTTCAGCCAAGGCCTGGCAAACAGTCTATCAAAGGTGTATTTATGACCACAGACCTTATCTATCTTGGAAAGCTGCCATGTAAATATTTTCCAAATGCAAGGAAAGACTTGGGCACAGAGTCTCTGAGGTTCACGGACAGATCTTCACACTCCTGAAACGAATCTTAACGAATGAATTGTTTCCTGCTCCCTCCCTTTTCGCTCCTCTTTTATGTCCTATGGGAGGGGCCATTCACCGTCCATCTATGGCTTTACTCCCAAGTCGACCCTGATTTCTTAGCTATTCTTTTCTTCTGGCAGCTCTACGCATGCACACACTGGGAACAGGCTCCAGCTGTTCCTCTGCCTCACTTCTGTCTAGCTCCAAAGGCAGCTGATCACTGCCAGGCGGCCTCGGCCCCCTCTCTGTCTACAACACAGAGCCCTCGTCCAGCCTTCCCCAGCCTCTAGGACTGGCCCATGCTCCTCCCCAACCTCCTCACTGTCTGACTCTGCTGCCAGCTCTGTTAGCGGGCCACAACAACGATGTGGTAGGCTTCAGAGCATCATTGCCCACAGCCAATAAAACATCTATATTTCTGCTTATTAGTTGGCAGGTGTTTAAGATTCCCTCCAGGATTTTGGACTCTGCTCTGCAAATCTTCTTTTTTTTAAGTGTGGGGTTTAACTTTCTTTCTTTTTCTCTGCGCAAAATATACTGTGCTTCTTGGGATATAAACCCCAGTCATTATCCCCGCAGAAAGCTCGATTTTGAAAAGCACAGGAGCTCTTTCAAAGAGGCTGGTACAGAAATGGTATGGCTGCTGGGAGTAGAAAGGAAGGTTTTATTCTGCTAAGCTTCTTTAGTGTGTCAAAAGCCTTTTCGGGGGTGGGGGTGGTATTCCCCGTGCATCTTGTAGCCCAGATCTTTTCGATAGATGGAAGGGTTTGAAAGCAAGGTGCTTCGGCAGATAACCGAATTTACCTTTAGCCTGAGTTGCCTTAAGCAGGTGAGACGCTGCCGTCTCATCTTTAGCCTTTGCCCGAGCTTGTTCTGAGAGTTTAGCTCACAGGTGTGTTTTCCAATTTTCAGGGTTCCAACACTGAGACTCCATGTTCAACTGCAAAAGTGAGAAGGTTTTGGGAAGGTCACCCCAGAAGTGCCTGCAACACAGTTGATCAAGCTGGAGCATGTTTTCAGCTGGCTTCCCATTGGTCAGGGGTGCAGTTGGGCAATTAGATGTCTGTGATAGGTGGTGTGTATTAAGGTTGCAAAAATTGCCTTTGCCTGTGGCTCTAAAGGAGACGCGGGTGGCTCAGTGGCTAAGACACTGAGCTTGTCGATCAGAAAGGTTGGCAGTTTGGTGGTTCGAATCCCTAGCGCCGCATAACGGAGTGAGCTCCCGTTCCTTGTCCCAGCTTCTGCCAACCTAGCAGTTCGAAAGCAGGTAAAAAATGCAAGTAGAAAAATAGGAACCACCTTTGGTGGGAAAGTAACCATATTCCGTGCGCCTTCAGTGTTTAGTCATGCCGGCCACTTGACCACGGAGACGTCTTCGGACAGCACTGGCTCTTCAGCTTTGAAACGGAGATGAGCACCGCCCCCTAGAGTCAGGCACGACTAGCACATATGTGCGAGGTGAACCTTTACAAGTAAAACAGGCGTTCTATTTTACTCTCTCCCAGTTCACCTAATCCGGGAGTGTCAAACTCTTATTTCATTGAGGAACGCATCAGGGTTGTGCTTAACGTTGGGGGGGGGGGGCAGGTTGGGCGTGGCTAGCTCAACGGCACTCGTGTTGGAGGCATCCATGGTGACCTGAGAGCTCTTTCAGCAAAAATGGACTCCCGAGCTCCGTTTTTGGCTGCGACAGCCTCCTGCAACCCTCTGCCAGTGAAAACGGAGCTCTGGAGGGTTGCACACAGCTCTCCCAAGCTCCTTTTTCGCTGGCAGATGCAACACAGACCAGTCCTTCGCTATTTCCAGGGTGGCCCTATGGGCCAGTTCTAAGCACCCAGCAGGCCGGATCCAGCCCCTGGGCCTTGAGTTTGACAACTCCTGCACCACCAGTCCATTATCTTTCAGGATTATACCTGGAAGAAACAATACAGGTACACCTCGACTGACAAGCACAATTGAGCCCGGAATTTCTGTTGCTCAGCGTGACGGCTGTTAAGTGAATTTTTGCCCCATTTTACCACCTTTCTTGCCACGGTTGTTAAGTGAATCACTGCAGTTCGTTAAGTTAGTCACGCGGTTGTTAAGGGAATCTGGCTTCCCCATTGACTCGGCTGGTCAGAAGGTCACTGAAGGGGATTGTGTGACCTTCGCGGGGACACTGCAATCGTCGTAAATATGAGTCCGTTATCAAAGATCTGGATTTTGATCACGGGGATGCTGTGACGGTCGTAAGTGTGAAAAACCACCATAAGTTCCTTTTTTTTCAGTGCCGTTGTGACTTTGGACATTCACTACACCAACTAATGAACTAAGTTCACTGGAAAACTACCCGTAATGATATATTTACCTTAGGAGTAGCCACAGCTAGATCAGGTAGAATTAAGCGTGATCCCAAATAGCCGTAGAAACAAGATATACTTCAAAGGGAAACCCAGGTTGTATCATTTCTACAACATCTGACCTGCAAGCACCCAACAACCTTCTACAGTTTGTTGAGGAGGTTTATTTGCATTTGGGGCAGGGGGTGGCTGCTTCTGTACACACCTGCCCAGCATGATCTGTTCATTTGCCTTTCTCTCTTTGGCTGACTTCGGCTGTCTCCCTCCCCTGAAATTAAATGTCGGTCACTATTTATTTATTTTTTGAACGTTTACGTGGATCGCAACCTCCCTACGACACTCCTGTCCTCCGGTCGGCGGTCTTATGCATGCGCGTAGAGTTTGGTAGGGTAGAGTCGTGGCTTTCGTTTCGTGACAAGCATGTTGCCTGCTTGATTGTGGCATTTGTCGCCGATCCTGTGTGCGTCTCTCTCTCTCTCTCTCTCTGTATCCCTCCCTGTTTAAATCGGGGAAGTCTTCCTTGGCACGATTCAGCTTGCTGGATGCAGTTTCCCTGCTCGTTTCCTCTCTTCTCTTCCATCAGCTGGAGTTTATTTAACGCATTCCGGGAATCAGAGAGAACCCAACAGCAAATCATCTCTCCCCAAAGACCAACAACAGGAAGGACCAAAACAAGGAAGCGTCCAAGGGACCCAGGAAGGTTCAAGGATAGAGACCATTTCGGTGGCATCTCCTCGCCAAATGGAATTGCCCTTTTCGGCGGGATCTAAAATTCATAGCCGCGGCCCCGTCATGGAAGCGACTTCTCCGCGGGAGAGTGAATTCATAGGAGCCGGGCCCCTGGATGGTAAGACTGATCAGAATGGATGCCGGCCCGAAGAAGAACGAGCGTCAAAAGGAGACGCCACGTTTGCACTGTTGGCCAGCTCGGAAGACGGACGCGAGAAGGTTCCTTCTGAGATTCTCAGCTCACATTCCACCGCGTCTCCCGGGGACACCGCTGAGCCGCCCGCGGAAAAAGATTCCCCCGAATCTCCCTTTGAAGTCATTGCTGACAAGCTGGAATTTGATAAGGAGTTTAAAGAGGTCGTGACCAGCAGCTCCAAGGACATCGGGAGCAACTGGGTGATACACGGCGAAAGGGAGCAGTTGACCGATATTCCAGAAGACAGCATTTGCGAGTTCCAGGCAAAACCCCGTAGTAGTGGGCGGCTTCCCTCAGGACCGGGGCTCTCCCGCCAGTCTTCAGGCACAACGGCGGCTCTGGAGGAAGTCTCCAAATGCGTCCGCGATCTACACAGTTTCACCAATGAGCTGCTTAACTGGGACCTGATTCCCAAGGATCTGGAAGACAAGGCAGATGACTTTATCAACACGGGCTTTAAGGCCTCACCCGGCGAAATCGGCGGTGGCGTTCCAGAACCCGTGGTGAAGCCTAGCGATACAGAAACCGGCAAGGCTCCCGCGCCTCACCAGCCTGTGACAATCAGCCTCCACCCAAAAGGCAAGCCGTCTCCAAAAGTAGACAAGGATCAAGCCGCTGTGGTTGGCCAAGCCGTCACTGTGGTGAAAAGTGCTCCTCCGGAAGCCGTCCAGATGACAACCGAGCTCTCTTGGCCCAATCTATGCCTGCCTGAAACCGCTGATGCGGATAGCTCTGGAGAATCTGATGACACGGTCATCGAAGATGTTCCCGCTGACCTGACATTCCCGAATAAGGTGGTGGCTGAGAATTGCCAGGGCTTCTCCAAACTCATCGGCTCCTCTGAGGCAGAAATCGAATATATAGATGAGGAGGAGGCATCTGATGAGCTTCAGGAAGACCAAATGGTTTCCCAGTCCTTGGAAAGCCGTTGGCGATTCACGGATGAGTTCAAAGTAATCCCAGCTACAGAGAGACCGTCTCCTGCATTTCAGTCTTCCAGAGAACCTGATCTGAGCCCACCTTCTAAAGCCAAGCAGGCATTTGACGCTGGAGAACTGGAGGTGCCGAGGAAGACGCCCAAGGCCGAAGACCCCTCGCGAAAGATTACTTTGGACAGCGTCAAAGAGGTGGTGTGCCCGGATGGTCTGGGCAGTGAAAGTTTTATGGACTTCATGAAGGAGTGCTTAAAATCCAAGGGGGCTGAATCTCCGGAAGACCCAGTGGAGATGTTCTCGGAGGCGGAGCTGAAGGCCGCTCGCTCCCAAGGGGCGTGGCCCTACTTTCAGCAGCCGCCCCAAGGGAAGCAGGATTTCGAACACGAGCACATCACCATCACAGCCCTCAAAGAGGTGGGGAGGAAAGCTGAGAGACCCACACTCTTCTCTCCCCCCAGAGGGAGGCACTTCGGACAGTACTGTGAGTTCCCGCCCGACGCGCTACCCTCTGCTCCAAAGTCAGCCTTGGAGAAGAGACCTCTCTGCCTTGAGCAGGCCGTCGATGTGATGCTGGTTCCCGCCAGCGTCAGTCTTGGGAAAACTTCTCACCCGCTTCCTCCCGAGCCGCCGTCTGTGCTACATGCCCTTACAAAATTACTGGCTCAATTCTCAGGTAACCCCACGAGAAGGTAATGATGTGGCTTGCATGTGGCTCCCTGCAAGAACCATGGGTGTTGTGTTGTTTATTTCCACTGGGGTGACAGTGGATACTTGGATAAGCTTACTTTTTAACCTCCTTATTTGTAAAATCCCACTTAATAATAATAATAATAATCAGCTTTCCCACCAAGTTCCAGTCTATTTGTCTGGTTAATTTTTACAGTTTTCAAAGACGTTTTTGATGCCGGGAAGGCGAAAACTTTTTTCCTTTTGCTTTCTAAAAACACTATCCCATTTATCCATTTAAAACTCTCTTGCATCACAGTCTTGTTAAGCTTTTGGCTTATAAATTGAAATTCTTTTAAGATAGTAGGGTTCTCCCCCCACCCCTCTACTTAATTCCAAAATGAAGGTAACTCACCGAGTATCTTTTGTTTTTTTTTTAATATTTCTCTTACGTTGCACATTAGTTGTATCCCGAAGTGTTTAAGAAAGTGAGCTTTTCTGTAGGTCGTATCCATAAAAGCTGCATAAAAGATTTTGAGGCACGTTGGTGTTTTCTTCACTCTTGTCTATCGCAAGACCAGATTCACATGTGAAGATCCTGATTTATTGCTGAAAGCTTATGCACAAGAATCTTCTCAACTAACAATCAGCCGCCGCTTGGAGTTAGATAAGGCTCAACAGAATACAAGGGAGGTTGGATTTAGTCCGCTTATAGCTATGTAGGGTGTTCTGACCTAGACTTCCCAAGAGCATGAAGCAAACTCATTGTCCCGACAAAAAACCCTTTTATTAATTCACTGCGATTTCTTCTCATTCACATCCAGCAAAGTCTTTCAAGGGAGGATTTACAGTCACAGACCTTCTCTGGCTTGGAGAGCTGCCAGGCCGATACTCGGAGAGTCACGAACCAATTAAGCAACTAACTGTCTCCTGCAAACTCCACTCCCCTTTCCCTCCTCTTTTATTTCCTCTGGGAGGGGCCATTCATCGTCCCCCTGTGGCCTTCCTCCCAAGTCGACCCCTGTTATTTAGCTCTTCCCTTCCTCTGGTAACACTGTGCATGTGCATATTAGGAACAGGCTCCAACTGTTCTTCTGCTCCACTGATCTCCGACTCCAATGGCAGCCGATAATTGTCAGACAGCCCTGGCCCGCTCTCTGCCTCCGACACGGAGCCCTCATCAGAGCCTTCCCTAGACTCCAGGATTGCCCCATGTTCCTCTCCAACCTCCTCACTATCCGAATCTGCTACCACCTCCTCTGGCCACTGACGGGCCACAATATAGGGATTCTAGGCTGATTCCTCTTTTGACTCCGCCTCCAGTTTCTGCCATTCCTCCTACAGCTCAATGCACAGTTGAGTGCACAAACCTCAATATTTGAGATCTGCTCAATAGGGCTAACTATCCAGAGTTCAAGAGGGCGATCTCCTGATCTCTTCCTTCTCCAGAGAGAATTTCATCAGCTCGGCTACTAATTTTGCCACGATGCTTTTACCCATTCATGAAATGCTCACTGAGACATCTAATGTTCTAACCCAGCTTCCTTAAAAAGCAAGAAACAAAAGTATTGGTCCCGACAAAACCCCTTTTATTTACACTACTGTGAATTCCTTTCCCTCACAGTCTGCAAGGCTTTAGCAAACAGTCTTTCAGAGGAATGTTTATCCACACGAACCTTATCTCGCTTGGAGCGCTGCCAGATAACTAGCTTCCAAAGGAAGGGCAAGGCAAAACGTGGCACAGAGTCTCTTATAGTCACAAACAGGACTTTCCACTCTTGAAACAACCAATGAATGAATTGTCTCCTGCAAACTCCACTCCCCATTCGCTCCTCTTTTGTTTCCTCTGGGAGGGGCCAATCGCCTCCAAGGTGTGGCTTTACTCCCAAGTCGACTCTGCTTTCTTAGTTGTTCTTGTCTTCGGGCAGCTCTTGCTCAGGCGCACACTGGGAACAGGCTCCAGCTGTTCCTCTGCTTCACTGCTGTCTAGTTCCCTCTCTGCCTCTGACGCAGAGCCCTCGTCTGAGCTTCCCTCAGCCCCCAGGACTGGCCCATGTTCCTCCCCAAGTGTCCAACTATGCTGCCAGTTCCGCTGGCCACCGGCGGGCCACAACATCCAAAGTGCATAGACCCTCACCAAGATCAGTCACTAAGTTAGCACTTTCTAGACAAGAACTACATTTAATCCTCAACTTATGACCAGTTGCTTGGTGACCGTTACAGTGGACACCCCGTCCGCAAAAGCGATTTGCAACCTGATTTCGAAGATTATGATGGCTACACACACAGACACAGACACACACACACACACACACACACACACAAACACACAAATTTGCCAGTTTCTGGCATTAGTTTTTTCCGTTCCAAAATGCTC